AAACAATTAATGTAGGTATATTTAATCATTATGTAATGAAAGGTGACTTCATGAATCATCTCTGAAGTCATTTTTCAATTTGACGGCTCTGTAAATAATAAAACAGGGAGAAAAAACAGCCCTTGCTGAGTACCGGCAAGAAACTCTTCTTGCCGGTTCTTCTCAGTACAAGGTCTCCCGCCGTAGATTAACGAAACGATGGCGTAGCTTCTAGACATTTATGAGTGCTTGTAACAGCCTAAACTGAATAAATGATTTTGATTATGATTATTATGATTATCCTCCCCTTGTCGGCCTGGACCCAATCCCCTACCCCGCGGAGGTTACAACCCTATTCACCAGCAGAAACACAACACCACCAAAAGGTAGAGTTCTTTTACTGTGATCTTGAGTGTTAGTTGAAGGTTGCTTTTCTAGACAGGCGCTCCAATTCGAGCTAAGTATCCACTGTGCCCTACCACACTTAGATTTCGATGAATGGTTTATTTCATAAGATAAATAATGGTGCCAATTCTGGCGTTATTCTCGAAACTTAAAACTAAATTTAACATCAGTCTCTCCTTTTCGTTCTGTATAGAGAATGACAAGGATATACTGCTGTCAAATTTAAGTTTAGGTTTAGAGAATCATGCTAGAATCGACACCAATATCTAATAAATATTGATAATTCTATACTTTTAAAAATTAATTCCACGCGGGCTAGTCTTGCGTCTTTAAGTATACTTACTGGATTAGATTAGAATTTGGCAGCGTAAACAAAATATCTAGCATATTTCTTGAAAGCTGCTTAATGTCTTCATTAGGAGTAAAAGTTTTTATACAAACAGCGTCATTACGGAAAGAGCCTTGGGCGATGAGGAACTTTATTAAAGATTATTCGCACGAGTGCTTTTTCTGCTCGTGCTAGAATCCCGGTGTGAGAGCATATAGCTTTCGACTTTTATTTTCAACTTTACATCAAATGGCCAATGTACAAATTTGGTGCGTCGGCCAATGAAAAATTCACGCACTTACGTGCATATCAGAGGTTGTCTAAAGATCTATTTCAAGCGCTAAAAAGGTCGTCAGGAAAAGTCATCAGACGACCCCCGTGGCCGAGCGGTATGTACGCCGGGTTTCAAGGTGCCGCTTACTCGAGAGGTCCCGGATTCGAATCTTGGTGGGGGCAGATGTTTGTGTAATAAGATACTAAGATAATACGAGCATTGGTACTCCAGTCATGGATGTTCAGTCGCCATCAGATATATCTGAGCATACAAGATGACCAAATACATCTGAACAGTTAAAATGACAATAAGTTCTATACACTACAAGTGACCATAAATATCTGATCATTCATTACTTCAATAATATCTGAGCAGATGCCTGTCAATAATATCTGGACATACAACTTTTCAAAAATATCTGAACAATTTTAATAGGACCTCTTAATTATTTATTTATAATAAGATGACGCTGGTAGTTAAACACTTACCAGTTTTTATTCTTATCACCTCTGTCATGTGTCATGCACAAATAAATTCAAGCAGCTTGCTTACGTATTAGTTCATACCATAAATTAACTATAATTAATATGAGTTCGTACCATATTGATGCGGAAATGAAACATAAAATAATACAACTAAAAAATGATGGTTTATCCGTAAAAGATATCGCCGATGAGCTAGGGATAGCCGTAAGTATCACGGAGAAAAATGCTAAAAATCAATTGCCCACAAAACATGAAACTTTATTCACAAAGTATAAAATTGTATTTATTTCAGAGAAATACTGTATATTTATGGCTAGAAAGATGGCAGCAAGAAGAAACATTAAATAATCATGTTTCATTTGGTCGCCCGCGTATTACTACAAATAATCAAGACATAGCTATTACAGATAAAGCCAAAAATGACAGATTTATAAACACTACACAATTTTCAAGTACATTCGAAATATCCACTAGCACCATTAGAAGACGATTAAAAGAAGGAGGTTTAAAAAATAGAGTACCGGCAAGAAAACCAACACTCACGCCAAGGCACAAAATGCAGCGGCTACAATTTGCAGCTAAATAAATTTTAATTTTCAAAACGTTATTTTCATGGACGAAAAGGTTTTCTGCTCATCAGATAATGGGCGATTAAGTTTGTGGCGACCCGAAAACACACGTTACTTAGAACAAAATGTGCTGCCTAATCGCCGGAGTGGACGTATTTCAATTGGATTTTGGGGATGGATGTGCAAAGATGGTCCTGGTGAGCTTGTGGAAATAAGTGGACGAATGAATGCAATGAATTATAAGGAACTTCTGGAAGATACTTTTCTTTCTACAGCTCAAGTTTTTTATCCAGAACAACAAATTACATTCCTTCAAGACAACAGCTCAGTACATAATGCTCGTACAGTACAGACATGGATTAATGAACAGAGAGAACTAACTTTAATCAAACTACCACCAAAAAGTCCAGACCTCAATCCCATCGAAAACCTTTGGGGTAAAATGGTGCAAGAGTGGGATGGGAATCAATGTCGAACAACAGAAGCCTTAAGGCGACATGCAAATGATGTTTGGGAATCGTTCAGAGATCGAGGTTTTTGTGAGAAGGTAGTTGGTTCCATGAGGAAACGTTTACAAGACGTATTAAATGCAGAAGGAGGTTACACAAAATACTAATGTTTCATGAGAAGTATATAATTGGTCAGCCTTTAAATAATTTGGTCGGCACAAAAAGATTTTGTAAGCAATTTAAAAAATCAGGCAGCAATCCTTGTTCGGCAAATAATTATATAATGGTCAAAAATTTAATATGAGAGTATACAAGATGGCTCATTTAAATGGGTCAGTATGGGAAAGTCTGAACTATAATATATACGAAGATCTGTTCTTAGGAACTATGTCATCGATTTTAATAAAAATTAAAACTGCATTCATACATTTAAGAAAAGCCCTATAGTCAGCTCGGGAATCGAACCCGGTCGTTTTGAAATAAAAACTAACACTATTTCCTATTTCTATTTATTAGTAAGATAAGTTACCTATAAATAAATACTATATGTACGACTTAATGATATTCAATTCAATATGTATGCACTATGCTCACTACGTACGTTCTAGGATTGATTTGATAGTGCTGAAATTAGTTCCAGAATTGCAGCAACTTCTCTTTTTTCCTGGAACGCATAAGCGAGCTGTTGGGTTATTTTTTATGAATAAAGATCGTTTTTTTTTTTCAATATTGGCCCGTACACTTATAATAACATGGAAGTGTTTCAAGCTGTTGAATCGTTGCGAACACTGCGCATTAATGCAAACGTGTTAATTAGACGCACGCCGGTTGCCGTCTGTTACCCCAGTTTTAACCGTCTAATGATTAACAATTCAAATATTTTTAAGGACGATGAAATGCTTTAATTGGATATACTCAAAATAGATAAGCGTGTTGTGTTTAATTGTCTATGTTAACGATATATTATTTGGAATGAATTTAAAGACTGTCACTCGACTACGGACCCTGTTTATTTCTTATCAGTATAAAAAAATAAACAATTTGGTTTTAGAAACCATTGCATGCGATTGTTTTGTTTATTAATATTTAGTCCCACAAATGCAACCAGTGCCAAATGTTGTGCCATTTTGCTTTAGTGTCGCCGCACACGGGCCACCGACCACAACCACAAAACGCCGCCACCGGCATATTTCTTTTAGTTTTCATACATTGTATATGGACTCGCCACACATGATACGCCGGTGGCCGCCACACGCTACAAATCGTCGTTGCTCGCTTCTTGTGGCCCGCACCGGCCACTTAATGCGCCGATACAAAACGCCGCCACACTTTTTTTTTTATTTGGTTTGCAAAACCGAAATGTGAAAATGACAAAATAATTACATACATTGTATCATAACAGTATCACAAATCTTATAAATGCAAACACAGCATGCACTTTATAAATAATGTTAGAATTCTTTATAATATTTTATGTACACAACACTTCACTCGCGCGATGCCCCACCCCTCTCTACCTTACCTTAGTCGGCCGCTGTCGCGTGCTTCAGCCACTTTAGTAGCCGCTTCTAGCTTCTCGTGGCGGCATTTGTGGCTGTGGCATGTGGTCCGTGTGCGGCGACACTTAGTCTATCGAGCGATAATGAGACTCATGTAAGCAATGTAACAAGATGAAAACTAAAATAATAAGATCCTCGGTTAAAGTTTAAATTCGCGTGCCGATCATCAATTATGCGTAACAGCAAGTTGCATTAGGAAGCAGCTACATGTTACAATGAACCCGTAACACACATTTGATTGACTGCCAATTAAGATGGAGAAATCGTAAATCACATAATCAACACTATTTGTATTCATCTGGCAACTAATTATCACAAGAACCGCAGGAGGGTGTTACGTTAAATTCGATCAGCGAAATTGAGAGTTACGTAGTTTCGACCTACGCAAGTTGGATCGTTGTTCATGAAATCGTGGGCGAGCCTGGGGAAGCTGACCTTTCTGGATGCCTTGTCAATGTATATCTGTATCAAATTCAAGAGCGCAGCCTGCTCTGGAAAGTTTGTCTGCTGCGGTAATCCCAGACCTATTTTTATCCTATGCCTCTGCACAAATTCATTATCAAAATTCTTTGTCAATAACATTACAGTGCTACTCTATTTCTTTAGTTACTTTGTAATAATATATATTTTCAAAGCATCTATTATCAATTCAGAAATAAGATTGGCATGACATTTTAATCCACACAAATGTGTAGTTATTTTCAATGAGATTTTGCATGAAAGATGAAACTTACTGCCTAAAGTAACGACCAACAAGACGCACATACGCATAAACTAATACGTATGACCGAAATCATGATAAACTTTTAGCAAAATACGTTGGGACCTGAAATCTCCTTTAAATTTAGAATGGCTCAGTCAAAATAGCATTAGTTTTTCGTGTGTGTTCCGTGTGTGTGTTTCGTGTGAATAATCCACTGCTTTTTTTCAATGAGAATGTTGTTTTTTTCAGACATGGAAGACGAATGCTATCCGGCCATGCCTGCGAGCGCGTGGAGCAGTCGGCGGCGATCCAGCGATTCTCCGCCCCGGGAGGTGAAGACGGAGCCCAAGTCCGAACCAGAGTCGCCAGCGTCATCCTGCCCTCCTTCTCCCACACCAGGCACACCGGTCACACATCTAGACTACGTCATCGACCACACAGTAAGTCGCTAATTTTTACATGTACCTACCTTTAAAACAAAGACGCTCCCGCTGTCTGTACGTGGTGGTCTAAGGACGCCTCTCCCCAGGAGATGAAGACGGAACCCATGTCCGAACCTGAGTCGCCCGCGTCATCCTGCCCTCCCTCTCCCACTCTCCCACACCAGGCACACCGGACACACATCTAGACTACGTCATCGACCACACAGTAAGACGCTAATTTTTACATGTACCTTTAAAACAATGACGTTCCCGCTGTCTGTACGCGGTGGTCTAAGGACGCCCCTCCCCGGGAGCTGAAGACGGAGCCCAAGTCCGAACCTGAGTCGCCTTCGTCATTCTACCCTCAATCTCCCACACCAGGCACACCGTTTACACATCTAGACTACGTCATCGACCACACAGTAAGACGCTAATTTTTACATGTACCTTTAAAACAAAGACGCTCCCGCTGTCTGTACGCGGTGGTCTAAGGACGCCCCTCCCCGGGAGGTGAAGACGGTGCCCAAGTCCGAACCAGAGTCGCCCGCGTCTTCCTACCCTCCCAATTTCACACCAGGAATACCGGTCACACGTCTAGACTACATCATCGACCACACAGTAAGGCGTGAATCTTTACATGGTATAATAATATGTGACGGTCCCGCAACTCCTCTCCCCGGGAGGTGAAGATGGAACCCAAGTCCGCACCAGAGTCGTCCGCATCTTCTTGCTATCCCTCTGCCACACCAGGCACACCAATCACACATCTAGACTACCTCATCGACCGCACAGTAAGAAGCTAATCTTTACATGTACTTGTAAAAGAAAGTAGCTCCCGCTGTCTAAACGCATCGGTCCAGCGACTCCATTCCGCAGGAGATGAAGACAGTATTCAGTCATACATAGTGATTCAATGTTTCATTCTGTTTATATGCATAAACCATGCCCGAGAGCATAAACCACAGAACACAGAAAGAGGTTAGATGGGGGATCATAGAGGGCGGGTAGGTAGTATTGTTTTCTATATACCATTGACTCTACATTTCACTGATCCATCAATAATATAATTAACCATGCTAATCACCAAACGAAAACCTAAGGGTAAGTCTGTGGCATCGTAACTTCTAAGTGGATGAATCGAGTTTTTTAGGTTAAGTGTGTTTTAAATGAGGCTTGATCTTAACAAGTAGATTTTATTAGTTAAGCTTTAAGCTTCACAAAAAAGCTCATTTAACCTGTTACTTTATTGATGCATGTAAGCAGACCCGTCTTTCCCAGTGGGCACTTTGGGCAAGTGCCCAGGGCCCCGCGATCGATAGGGGGGCCCCTCAGATCAAATACAAAGTCTCTAGTTCCTGTTAAATCACCAAAAGGAAGTCATAGGGGCCCCATTATCCTAATATGACCAGGGCCTCCAATAGGTCAAAGACGGCACTGCATGTAAGTATATCATCGTAACTACAGAACCACTAGAAAAGGTATAAAATAAAACTGACAATTAAATACATCTGTAAGACAAGAATTAATCTTATAAAAAGGATATTAGTTAATTAAATCCTACTTACTAATATTAAAAATGTGAAAGTTGGTGTTTTTGTATGTTTGTTATTCAATCACGGGTTTTTGAAAAAATGAAATTTGGCATGGATGTAGTTTATTGCCTGTATTTAGACATAGGTTTTATCCTATAAAAGCTTAAGGTTTTCGAGGGATTTTCAAAAAACTAAAGTTAACGCAGACGAAGTCGAGGCGGCCGCTAGTTCAAAATAGCCAAGCATACGTAGTCATCGACTTTTCGAAAGTCGCTTCACGCCGTACCTACGGGAAAGTCTTAATGGAATATACCTAACGTAATTTGGAACGTCGCAGCAAATCCCTAGCCATTTATAGACATATACGTCTCAGTGGAGAAAAAGGTCAAGGTCATGAATCGAATCATTTAACACTGACACTCGGGACACCTGTCAACGGGCTCGCTGATCAACAAGTCAGGGATTCGACGTAAACATGTTGTACAAACATATTATATGTTACGTACTCGTGTATATTTGGGTACTAACGAGTACGAGGAACATTTACTTAGGAATTCCAACGAAGTATGGTCCGAGTGTATACAAACTGCGTAATTCTCATATAAATCGGGTATTCCATTGGTTAAGCTAATTGTTATTAAATCATCTATAAATATACTGAATCCAAAAAAATAACAACATCGCTAATCTAACTCATATTGTCTTGTCTGCTTACTGTGATGGTAATGGTTAACTTTGAATCGGGTTGAAAATCGTTTAAATCGTTTATTTGCCATTGATTTATATCGATTTTCAAATACTGAATATTGCTATACTATATTACTGTTTTACTGAATATTTTCGATATAACAACAACTTATCAGTCTCTTAATCACCGTATGTGCTCTAAACGCGGTAATAAACTAACTTAACATTGTTTTCATTCCTTATTTAGATAATTTTTTCATTCACAATCTTAAAATAATATCCCCCCCCCCCGTGATGTCGCAGGCTAGGCCGCTACGCGCAGGGTTTCCAAATGTATGAGAACTCTAACGTTCGAAATTTTGCAGGTAGGTTTTTGTAGGTTTCACTTCTATCGCATTTGAACAGTACATATCCATTTTTTTAATCATCTACCTGATGTTGATACCTGAAAAAAAAATTAATAATCCCTATTAAAGTGTCTTCTTCACTTTTCACCTCAAGATAGAAAAATCAACAAATTCATCATAAGCAGCACCTGAGGTTACGAATGTAAAATATCTCTTCAACTTATACTTGTTTAAAGTGAAAGAAAACGCTGCCTGCGTCATAGTATTTATAAAGTCGTTACGCCGTCTCTCGAGCATCGTTTAGAATCACGATCTTCAATCGAAAGAATAAAATAAACACAATATTAAGAAAAAAACAAAAGGTCATCGGAGTTTAACTATCCGGCCGGCACCCACTTCGCAACTTTCGCCAGTGATCCGGTCATGATCACCATAGTTGTAACATTTTTAATTTTACTCGCGTCAGTGTGAGATTCACCATCGTCAAACAGTAAAACTAATGATAGCACATTTGTTTCTAAGGTTTTCACGCACATCACTCATTAAATAAAACAAGTTTAAACGACAATGATTATTCCGGCGACGCATTCCTGCAAAGGATGCAAACTCGAAAAAAAAAATCATTATTCCTACGACGCATTCCTGCAAAGGATGCGAAAAGTCAATAAATAAATAAAATCAGTGCATCTAACCCCTTTGAAATATAATTTAATGATAGCACTTCACATAGCTGTTAATTTTGACAACAGGTTGTCATTATCATATTCTAATGAAAAGGAAAGACTGTTGTCATGTTTATAAATAGAGACTTTTGTCAAAAAACAAAACACGTATGTACAACTAGCACACCTGCTTAATCAGGTATTTAAAAGTATACATTAGGATACGAATATATTCTGTGTATACCACAAAATTTAGCAGCTTTTGATTTTACTGTTGGTGCCGTAAGGTAATTCTCATACGAGAAATGCACTTGGAGGGCTTCGGCGAAAGAAGATGTGGTTAATAATGCCTTGTTTATGAAGTCAAGAGTGCTAACTGCTGAGTGTACAGTAATTTTTGGCCTCTTCTTACAATCTCGGTAATGATGGTGCTCGAAAGCGGTCCCTTTACGCGTAAATAATATTACACAAATTGACATAATCCAAATTCGCAGAAACTTCAAATTGTCCAAAATAGGGATAACGGAAACTGTACCACGTATTATTGTTCTCCAGGTTTTGATCTGTGTGTTTACGAAACAGCTTTAAATGAAACATACATAGAGAAAAGCGTGGTGTAACTGATAATTCACGAACTTGTTTATTCAGCATAGGTACTTAGTTCGTTTTTAGTGGAGAGTAGTAAAGTTAATCTTTTATGTTGAATAGATTTAACATAATATCTATCTAGCATTTAAATGCTTAAAAATAAAACAAAATATAGGGGAATAGATTAGAGCTTCCTTGATTTATCCTTTAATGGCATGAAAGAGTAAACAATCTGTCTAACACCTGACAAGTATGGATGAAAATTGGTTAGATGCGTAAGGTTATGAAGGTTCAGGTTATGAAAATAGAAAATATGTTTTGTTTAATAACTAGGAGTTATGAATAAGTTTTTTTTCACTGTTTCTTAATCAAACTTGTCACCTGGTACTTTGTCGGGGTAATGATTTTTATATGGACACATGTATATAGTTTTTGACGATTTATATAATTAGGTCACCTTGCAGCAATTTTCAATTTCAAGTTTCAATTTAACTAAAACTAGTTACAACCCATATAAAAATGTCAAATTGACATTAATAGAGCTGTAGCAAACCGTATGTATTCGGTACTGAGTAACGGGTGCGCCATCTAGTACCGAGTAACGAAACGTTACACACAAATAAATTTCGTTACTCGCATTTTTCGTAGTATGACTATCTATATGTTTTAGGGATGTCGAAAGTTGAAAAAAAATATAGATACATCGATATTTTAAAAAATATCAATATCGGCTTCGATATATCACGAAAAAAACATCGACATATCGGACCAATTTTCCCAAAATTATATTTAGGTCAGCCTAGCACATTAATAATAACAGTACAAATTATAATTAAAGAAAGAATTATCAAAGTACCCAATTGCCGATACACTACATGACAGTACGGTATCTCACGAAATATGGCACGCGGAATAATAATGAAACGAAAATTATCTCCCTAAAAGTAGACCCGTTTTTCGAATGTAGAAAATGATTGCAGGGCCTCTCAGGTGTCATCTTTCGTAAACAAGACTAGACAGTCACACACTTCCACAGAATATAATGGAATTCAGCGCAACCTATTCACCAGCGAAACAGATTTACAAATAATAGACAATACTAAATACAGCACAGATCATAGATATGTTGAATATCATTAATCTGAGATCCAGTTCCGATTTTTCCAGATACGAATTTAGTTAGATTGTGATATGCCGCTAAT